GACTAATCCAAAATCGAGTCGGGTAGGACCACAAGGGCGGCAAAGCTCTCCCTCAAGAGTTTTAACACTGCTGCATTCCCAGGGCTCGAACACGAGACCACTGGTTAAGCTGGTATTTGTGCGGTGGATTTTTTTTTTTTAATCGGTAAAAGGTTAATTTATAGTGTGCGGTGGGCTTGATTGTTTATGAAATAATTTATTCAATTTGAATTATTTTGGTTAACTATAGTTAATTTTGAAAAAGGTGGTATGGTTAGTTGTAGTGGAATTTTAAGAATGTATTAAAATAATATTTAAAATAAAATAATTAACATTGATTTAATGTAAAAGTAAGGGATAAATGATTGGAAATGATGGGTAGTTAAAATTATATGAGTGGATGAATAGTGAATTAAAGTTGATGTGATGTGTAAGAATGATTGTTTGTATTATTTAATTATATGAATAATATTAAAGATAGTAAGTTGAGTTAAAGTTGAGTTAGATTTTGAGTTGAAATAAAAGTGAGTAAATTATTTTGTAAAAAATGAACCCCTAATGCAACGATAAGTGGTGTAGCATACACTGATAACCTATGATAGGTCTATGAAAAGTTTTTAAAAAAGATACATCAATTTGTGTGTTGCCTAGAAATGAGGTATTATGTTGTCTCTTAAGGGCACGTTTACTTTAAAGGATAACTAAAATTATTCCTCGATAGTTTACGTTTACTTTAAATGATTGAGATATGATTATTCTATGTGGAGTACATGTGGCATGCGGGACCACATGCGTATCAAGTATTTGCCGATTATTCACCCCATCAGGATAAAAATGCTGACGTGTCATTTAATATTTTTTTAATTTTCTACGTGTTATTTACATGGCGTGATGTGACATACTCATTCCAAAGTAGACACCTAAAAATAGGTAAAACTATATAAAAAATATAAAAATAAATAAATAATGAAGACACATCAACAAAACTCTTAAAAAAACAGCATGTTGTCCATCAACAATATCACCCAGATCACGAGCACGAAGTACAAAATCGCCGGACACGCGGAGCAGAAACCGGCGAGGAAACCTCGATATTGACCAATTTCAAACTTGGTCCTATAACTTAACATTTTTCAATTTTTCGATTGAGAAACTTAAATGGACAGGGTCAACGCTAGTGTTGTAAATAAATCAAATATTTTTTGATTCGATCGTGATTCTAATTCGTATTCGAATAAGAATAGGGTTTAGTATTCGAAATTTATTCAAATCTGAATCCGATTATGCACATATTCGATACAGAATTATTAAATAATCGATACATTAATTATATATAGTATATTATATCTAATATAAGATTTTACATATGATTTTATTTATATAATATATATTAATATATTAAATATAAGTATATTTATACTTAAAAAACATATGTAATTTATTTAAAAACTATATTTATAGACCGGGATTAGCACATAAACAGGATGAGATCACGAATGGAACGTCTCAGGCTCGCGATTGGGTCGTGTGCGGTGTCGTGTCACGTCGCCAGGCTGGTCGCGCCTCGCAGGTTGTGTCGCGGGGCGGGTCGCGGCTGTCTGGTTTTCCGCGGCGTCGGGCCGGTCCGGTGCGGCTATCCTCATGGCGGTCGGTGATCCTCGGCCTCCGAGTCGTGGTTCGTCGGCTCCGGTTGATTTCTGGGATTAATGAATATATGTGTCTCAATTACCACGGGATCTTCTACTGTATATCTCAAGCACCTCTTCAACTTGTATCTATGGAGCAACAAGAAGAAGATAAAGCTCGAACAGAAAATTGAGAGAGAAAGAGAGAGAGAGAGAGAGAGAGAGAGAGAGAGAGAGAGAGACGCGCCTATGTATTAGGCACGTAGGAGAATTCTGATCTCTTTATCCCTTTTCCATGAGCCTAATGGTGTATATATAGAGCTACAGTAGGGACCTTTAGGAGATTAGGAATATGGCTCATTAATTAATTAGACTAACTGTGGGTCAAGCTCACTCCTATAATTAATTAAATAATATTATGGAGCACTATCATAATATTATTGTTTTCCCTTTTTCTAACTCAATTTACAATTGAGACTCCAATAATAATTACCCGAATTACCTCCTCATGTTTAAGATATAATGTTCATTAATTAATTTGATTACTAATAAACATAAATTAATTAATATATTATTTTTTCACCGAATCTAACTCTCGTTCATCACATTATTACTATGTCGTAATTTAATCCACCTGCTGGGTTTAGCATAATAATCCTTCATGAACTCACTCTGGGGACATCATCAAACTAAACGTACATGGTGACCGTAAATATCCTAACAACACATCATATATGCAGCAAAATTATCCAACACAGTAGGATTATTAATTCAGTGAACTAAACCTCCTATGTGAATCAAAATAATATATACACTGCATATATATGTCTGCTTAATATCTTACGGGTTAAGAGAACGAAGTAATTAACTGAGGCCTAGTTCGTTTACGACAACCAGTATAAAACGAACTTCTCCTCTCTGGCATCCTGTTTGATTCATAAATATACTAGTGCGACTAATCAGTCAAGACAAACTGTACCGTACTACAACCGTTCGAATCGGGTGTTCATTTCCATCTAGGTTGTTGTTGACAACCGACTTGAATCGTCAGGATCGGGATGATAATTATTATAATTATTACGGTAAACTCGCCTCTGCGCCCAACACAGGTCACCTCGGTTCAGGTAGAAAGGTCATACCAACTTCATGGGAAGTCCTTTGATAACCGACTTCATGAAAATTTCTCGAAGTTCAATCCATAAACCGAGGTCCAACTTGATCGAACTTCAAAGCAGCTGAAAAAGCATCCTTTTTCATAGAACCACGTGCAAAATATACAATCATTATTGTTCCCTCGCTGACTGACAGATCGCTCTCAGAAGCTGCTACGCATTGGGATCCTTTTTCGAACAATCGGAACAAGAACATAAGCATAAGTTCGGTTCACTTATCAACAGACTTCTTGTACTCAGCAAAAAACTCAAAAATAATACAAATGTATTCGCTTTTCTGTTTTAAATACATATAAATATCGTTGTTAAAATCTGCATAACAACAGTTGTGAACCACTATTCTTGTTTCGCGGTAACTGATAGAATGATCTTCGGTTCGCCCGATGACGACCCACTCTATCTAATTGCAAAACAACAGAACGTAGAACTTGTTTAATTTGACATGTTTCTCATTCATAAAGGGTAAAAGTGTAATATCTTCCAAAACCAAGCTTTCAGTATATAATACTAACAAGACTAACCTCCTTGAAGTTTGTAGGTAGATCCGACTCCAGAATGTTGCGAGAAAAAAGATGACCTCATGCTCGCTCCACCTTCTTGCCTTCGACTTTCGCTTGAAATTATCGAATCTCTTCAGCCATTTTTTCTAAATCTCGAACCTTCTCGACCTCAATGGTCCTATTTCTAGACTCATCTAGCTCTGTTTTCTGTCTGGTCGCAGGGGTCGTGGTTTCTGTCACAGTGGCCACGTGCGAAACCTACTAAGCCTACATATGAAAACGCTCGGCAGCTCGAGCATCCCCAATACCTCTTCCTTCATCACCGTGATGAGCTGTTGGGTTGGGGGATCTGGGGGTGGACCCATGAGTTGAGTTTGGACTGGCTACCGGTGGTTGTGCGCTGCTAATTGTTGATTTGGCACTGACACTAGTTCTGCAGCTACGACCTTCACCAAGGTTTCTCCTCCATGTGAGCTCGAACCTCCAGTTGTTGCTGGTCTTTCTTTCTATTCTTATCTAACCTTGTATGACCACACATCCATCTCAACATTCTCATCCGTCTCACTCTATATTTTGATCATCCTATGTTTTGTTTATAAATATACCAATAAAAAAATTCAACCTCAAGTCAAATCTAACTCAAATCCACTATTCATAATATTATAAAAATAATCAAATAATATCAATCAATTATCTCTAAATATTATATCAACCTTAATTATCTATTCATTCACTCACATATTTTAAATTACTCGTAGTTCCAATCACCTCCTTCTTACTTTTACACTAAATCAATTTAATCACTTATTTTAAATATTAACTTTATATAAATTTAAAATCTCACCCGAATTTAACCCAACCAATATTTGTAAACTTAACCATCTCTATGAAGGTGACAGACCTATTCTTTGTTGTAATATCCCGAGATATTATCAGTATAAATTATGTTTAATTCCGATATAGTAACGTTATCGTTTATTATTTTCGGAATTAAATAAGTTCAGTCGGAATTACCGAAATCTATTTTCGGCGTACCGTTTACGTCCGAAATAATTTTGGTAATTAAGTATTATGTTTAATTTAATAATTAAACATAAATTGAGTGATTAATTAAATTTAATCACCAAGTTAGCCCTAATTGATATAAATGCCGTGAGATTAAGATGAATTTTCCAAAATTTTTCCTAAGTACCGTGAGCATTTTCCTTGTGCTTAAGGATTTGATTTCATCCAATCAAAATCTAGCAATTGTCATGAGGAAAATGAGCTTAGTCATCACACATGATTTGGGAGATTAGCAAGTGTTGAGCTCTTAATAAGCCACATAGTGCCGTCATCATTAACCTCATTTTCGTCCAAGTATATAAGGAGCAATTTGGGGCGAAATTTTCCC